CCCAAAACCCCAAAACCCCAAAACCCCAAAACCCCACATCCACTGTAATTTTTATCAAATTTGGACTCAAACAGCAATAATGGAGCCCACTCAGAACTACCAAAGCATGTTCGAAATTCCCAAACAGAGCAAGGAAAGTACCAATCAGAGGATCCTAAAATTCCTTAACATGCTGTAAGCCATTACTTCCCTTCATAAATTACTTGGCTGATCATGATTGTGCTTAGGAAGGAGGACAAACCGATGAGGGTAAACGAGATCAAGAAATACTTCTCAGGCCCTAGTGTCCAGATCTACACTCCAAAAATAAATGTCACCATTAAAACCAAAAACAAGACTTCAAAGTAACAAGATTCCTACGGAACGATTCAAGTGTCACTCCATTGGTAACACTCAATGGTGATTTATAGAAAGCCATAGGAATAGTTTGCAGTACAACCTTATTGGGAAGCCAAGATTCTCTATCACAAATAGGCTTTCTCGTAGGGCTTCTAACGACTCTTCTGTCAAAGGTATGTCTTGGAGGTCTCAAAAATAGGCACTCACAGGTACACAAGCAAGTATTTGACCCCAGAGAAGTGTAATAAAGCTAGTCAGGCCATTAATCTCTCGGTCTCAAATTCCTCGCTGCTGAACAAGAGCGTAACACTTTAAAACCAATCTGTAGATCTTTCATGACAACAACCAGGATTAAAAATTGTACCAATTAATCTAAAAATGAACTCTAAAAGAACAAAAACTCGGAACCAAGGAAAATTTGCCTTGAATCGTAGAAAAATTATCCTTTCAAGGACTTTAGAAAAGAGCATTGATAAAATTCAGCCTAAAAAATCCCCTTCTGATTATAAACTTCCTAAATAAGATCACTATGCCACTAGAGAAGTTAATAGATCTCTCAAAGTCCTTTGACAGAATTCCTCCAGCAAAGAAGACGAAAGTTGGAAACAGGAAGTTCAAAGTATATTCGCTCAGGTCTTGCTTCAGTGAAGAAGAGCGCAAAGAAACTATTCATAACAGTAAGGATTCATTAGTGTAATTTTCAGGCAAAACTCCTGCAATAAAGATGGTTGACAGGTCACATTACAAGCTGACACCTTCGAACTATCTAGATAGCCAGAAACGGTTCCAGAAAATGCTTAAAAATAAGATAATAAACAGGTATAAAGACTGCCAAGGGGGTAAATTTCCTTTCAGATTCTATATAGCTGTTAAAAAGGATAGGCGAGGGAAAATTACCAAAATCACGGCTAAAATTTTACCAGATATTTATACATCACGGATATCAATCTCGAAGTATAAGTATGACCCAAGTAATTACCAAACCAAGCCATAAATTATTCAATCTTAGTATGAACGAGAGGGGTTTTGGGGTTTTGGGGTTTTGGGGTTTTGGGG